CCTGTACCGTCCGCGGGCCGCATAAACATTGATAGGGGGCCGTATGTGGCCCGCGGGCCGCAGGTTGTGCACCCGTTTTAGTTGTCAAAACTGACTTTATAATGATTAAAAAGCACTATAGTTACAACCTATTAGTGTTATACTTATGGAATCACATCTTAATTGTCAATGAGACTGACTAACCACATAAAAAAAAAGCTGGCAATGTTGTTGCTGGATTTTCCTGGCACTATTAGTTTTCATCCCTAATAATTGTTACCATTACCTTTAAGTCTTCAGATTGGTTCAGGAGATATTAATGGGGTGAGGGTCTTATCTTCTAAACCAATGGTCAATTTTCCTGAAAATTTCTAGAAACTTTTTCCCCTAATACATAAATCACTCTGCAAAATTTCAGAAATTTTTGACAAAAAGGTACAAGAGTTATTAAACTTCAAAGTGGATAACAAAATCATGCCTCCACCACACACACACTACTCTGGGTTTATCTTTTTCATAGGAAATTTCATTATTGTCACAGAAAATATTGACAAAAACTTCTAAACTGTACCTTATCTAATTACAAAAAATTTTTCATTTAGAAAATAAAAACAGTACTGAATATGATCTAATAATAGATGGGAAAGTTATACAACTCGTAGCTGGATTTCTTTTAATGAGTGATTATCTAAAAATGGATATAAAAACTACAATGATTGTATGATCAATATAGATTACTTTGTATCCAGAAATTCTCAGGATATAATTCATGAAACATTTACATATTAAAATGTTATTGAGTACTGGATACCATAATATAAATAAAACAAAAATGCTTATTTCAGGAAATCTGAAATAAGCATTTTTCTTTATTTATATTATGGTATTCAGTACACATTTTTATATTACTTATTCATTTTCAAAATAGTCACTGACTAACTGACTCCCAAAATCCTTAAAACATCGATTGAACATTCTGAAGTTATGGTCTTTATTTGGCAGACCACTCCTTTTTGAATGGATGGAATGCCATCAAAAAATTGCCATTTCAAAGTCCTTTTGATTTAGTGATTTTAGGTTTAAGATTTTAATAAAATTTTTGTTTTAAAAGAAATGTAAATGGATTAAACCATTAAGTAAAATATATCGAAAATTCTACGAAACAGACATATCTAAACAAAAAATAAAAAATTGTGTCTGATACCATCTGTTAGAAATTTTATTAAAAATAATGTGTATATTATTAGTCATCATCAAGACAAAAAGTCATTTTTGGGGTAGAGGTGAATTTAACTTTCTGGGTGTTGTGCAGCATTTGTGAAATTCCACAACACACATTTTTCATTTCTTATATTTAAAATTTTGTACAAAAATTTCTATCTTCCTAACTTTTCAAACCTTTTCACTGTACATTTTTTTTAGTGCAGATACTTTGAGATAAAAAATGTTGGCATCTATGAGAAGACATACAACTCTTTGCACACAGTAAAAGTTGCAGTAAAATTATGTGGGTGTAACCCTTTCAAGTATCACTCGGAACAGGTGCAATCTGACAATAATTTCTTAAAATAAATTTAGCCTTATGAAAATATCATTCCTTATATTCTCTGTTCTTTCTTCTTAACTGCACAACCAAAACCAGTTTCAATTTATTTTAAATGAAGTGTTGCATTTATGTACACTTGCCACTTTTTATATACACAATGCCATTCTTTATATATTGCACTGTCATACATAACCCTGCATGACAAAAATGTAAAAAATAATTTTGACACTGCAATTGTTCAACTTTAAAATTTTTGTTCATTTCATAACAATGTTATCCAAATTCAAGACAACTGCATTTATTTGATAAAATTATGAGAATTTTAAGTTATAAAACTAGCAATTTATGCAGTCAACCTTATGTGGTAAACTGCCAAATTTTTTATCTTAATGCCATATTTCTTTGATTGCTTTTCTCATATAGAAAACATTCCTGGTTAAAAACACAAAAAGTTTAATACTTTCTGTAATATTTCAAGCAATATTAATTTTTGAATTAAGATAATCAATTTTTGGTAATTGTGTGATTATACCATGCACATAAAAAATTCTTCCAAATACAAGTCGACCCCCTATAACACTGTTGATTTTTTTGTTTTATATGAATTCCATGTTGTAAGAGTCATTTAGATTTTACAAATACATGAGCCATTCACAGCCCGGCACATGTATTTGTAAAATCTAAGTGACTCGTACAACATGAAATTCATATAAAATGGAAAAATAAACCGTGTTATAGGGGGTCAACTGTACAACAGAACAATAAAATTGTCATTTGATCCATTTACAAGCAGGAAGGAAACTTTTGTTTATAGGATAATAAGATAATTAGCAGTAGTGATCCTAACTGCACTGATAATTATCTTGTAGAGCAGAGATTTTCAATTGATGTGCTGCAAAAATTTTTGAAGATTATTTGAGAATTGGAAGGAAAAAAGAATATTTTTGGGCTCAGTGTCACAATGTGAGAAATGCAAAATACCAGAGGAGCGGGATCAAAATTTTATTGATGATCATTATTTTCCCTAAAACAGCCAAGAAAATAAATCTTAGAAGGGAATGACTTTAATAAGTAAAATACTATTTGTTATATAAGATATATAAGAAACCAAAGACTTTTTGACTACCAAAAGGCATATAACTTCAGTAAAGCAGAATTTTTTGATATAACAGCTAAATTTTAAAATCATAACTAATGATATAATGTGTAGACTATCATTTTTCAGCTCTTTCTATTCTTTGGCTACTAAGAGGGCCTTTTTAAAATCGTAAATGTTATGGATTTGGCTATGTACAGTACATAATAAGTCAGCCAGATGAAGAGAAACAGAACCAAATATTCAAGACAACAACCCACAAAACATTTGAGGATCTTGACCCAAACTCAAACCTCAAAGCAGCAAGCATATATCGAGGCCAACCTATGGTCTATTGATGGTGTGGCACTGTTTAAGTTCATTTTGGATTTTTTTTCAAATGAGTGATTATCTAAAAAAGATATAAAAACTGTAGTAATTGTATGATCAATATAGTTTACATTTTATCCAGAAATTCTCAGAATAAAATTCATGGAACATTTTCTTCTGTCAATCATCATCTATTTTTTTTCCTTAAATTAATTACTAGTTAAATAAAATAATTGCTTTATTGTTTGGCACTAAAAAAAATTAACCTTATTCAGATCCACTTAGGATCCAATCTAATTCTAATTTATTCATTTTTATACTGTATTTTTATGATAAAATCTTATTATGTTGAAAACAACAAAATATTTAATTCACAAAATAAAATTCTGTACTAAACATAATGAATATTTAGTACAAAATTTTACTTCATGAACTAACCCTTCTTCCTGGTTTTCACCATGAAATGGAGACTAGCAATTGACTTCAGGGTCTGATACCAACACTACTATATCAAGATAGATGCTGACTACAATTTGGCTATAAACAATCACATTGACTTGCCAACTCCAACGACCTTGAAACTGCCACTGAATTATAAAAACTGGCCTTACTACCTCAGCCACCCAGCTGTCTATGGACTTTACAATCACTTTGTCATCAAAAAATATCAGTCTATAATATTTTTTCTTTGTTAAAGTTGTGACAAAGCAACATTTCCAGTTTGCTTATCATTCAAAAGTGCTATGCCACTAAAAATATGCACCATTTTTAAGGAGAGAGAAACCATATGCTAAAGAATTACTAAAAAAAAGAGAATTAATTTGATTTATGTAAAAATTAAAATTAAGTTATCAAACAATTACTGAATGAAAGATGTTTTGATGTTTAAAGTCAAAGCATCTTTCATTCTTCATATTAACTAGACAAAAGAAGCAACTAACACAATCTGGCAAGTCTTAAAACCACCAAAATTCAGTATTCTATTATTATGGAGAACATTAATTAATTTCTCATCGCAAATTATTTTTATAAACAAAATGAGAGTAATTTTCTTTATTGTTTTGTTTAAATAAAGATTTGTATGATTTATATTTTAATGGTTTTTTAAATGAACTAAACTAAATCATTGTATTCAAAAAATATTTATAATAAACAACCTTCCCATATTTCAGAACTGAAAAAGTTAACATCATTTCTAAGACACTAAATATATACTTGGAAATATATATTACTTTTTAAAAATAATACATGAATTACATTGCCCTTTAGTTTTTATTTAATTAAATAAAACAGAAAAATAAAAAGTATAATAATGAACAAAAATCAATAGGTAATTGAAAACAAAACATATCTATATATTAATAATCTTAAAAGAAAAATGTTTGCTTCTTCAGACTGTGCTTTATAGTATTCATTTGAATAATGCTTTCATGTATTCATCTTCAATATTCATCCATTTACATGAAAATTCAATATGCTTTAACTTTTCTTCTGCCACAAGATTGTAAACACTGAAAATAATATTATAAACCTTGTAACTTTTAATATAATCTGCCAGTTTCCTTAGAAAAGCATGGAATTGGTGTTAATTGTGCCATATGTTGATCAACAGAAATTTAATACTGAATAATAAAGAATTGTTTTTTTTTTCATTACATGGGATGGCTAAAATATCTTTTTTGACTAATGTACTTGAAACTCTGTAGAATTCATGCAATGAATAGTTAATAAATGAAAATGCTAACTACCAAGCAGCATATCTTTACAACATCTGTGAAAATTTTTAAGCACTATTCTAATTCTTTCAGATTTTTCCTCTCTGTTCTCCACACACACATTTTGGTATTTCAGACTAATTTTTTAAATGAACATTTTGGAAGATAATACACATATTTAGAACTACTGAAACCTGAGTTTTAACATTTTTTTTCAACTTGTTTTTGCATTATAAAAATAACCTCTATAAAACAAACCTGTCAAAATGGAAAATTCTGGCTGGTACCATTGTGTCCAGTTTTGTACAGGTTTTACTGTATTAATAAATAAGATGAAAAAACATCAATTACAAACCTGGAGGACTCATACTCATTTGTTTCTCGACTTCACTCTGCATTTGTTTTAACTTTTCAGCTTCTTCTTCCATTTCCCTTACTCTGGCTTTTATAGCTTCGAGTTCCTAAAAATAAAACATTCAAAATTATAGTAATTATTTTTAAAGTTTTCAAAAATTAAAGTATCAATAAAGTAAACTGTACATGCAACTTTCTGATTTATTATAATCAAACTACACATTCTAGAAAAATTTTCAAGAACGAAAAGTCGATTTTACACAATACTACGTTCAAATATCTGATTTGGACTGTGATGATGCAAGAGATTCAGTTAATCACATTTTCCTATGCACACTCAGCCAGCTTACATTATTTACAATATCATCAACAACAATGAAGTTCAACTGCTTAATTTTATTTTTTAAAAATATAATACAAATGAAGATGCTGACAAACAATTAACAGAAACACAGTTGACGCACTACAGAAAAAGTATTTTACTAAGATTTTTGCAAATTGACGCAGAAAATAAATAACAGAAAATTACCAGAAATCCCTAATTTGCATTTACAACACATTTCATTAGACTTCAACCACACATTTCTTGTATATAAAACTACATCTAAATATGTAAATTTGTGCAAAGTTTGCACATTGCCAATTTTCCAGTATATAAAACAAAACCAGAACATGAAATATAACTCTGCTGCACAAGTGCCAAGAGGAAAGACAATTAGTATAGATATATATAAATGTGTACATCAGAAATTTTAAAGGGGCATCAAAGAGCACTTATTATTGACAACCTGCATTTTATCCAAGTACACAGCCAATGACATTAACAAACATTTCAAGGAAACGGGAATTAAGCTTCCAGACAAATAAATTCTTACTACATGAAAATGTGCCAGTTACATTACAATATGCTAGGAAACAGATATTTAAAAGCTTAGTTTAGGGAAAAGTTAAAAAAAAATACATCTGAAAGCACAATATGAAAAGATTAAAGTTTAGAATTTATAAAGCAGTACCTAAACCTCATCAGTAAGCATCACAATGTCTTATAAGCCAGAACCTATTTGAACTGGACAGTAGAAAAATGGAATCATATTTTATATTCAAATGAGTCAATGTTTCATATTAAATACAAAAAAAAAATAAGTACAAAAAGTCGTCCAGATAAAGGGAGTACAAAACCATCCAGTCTTCTATTTCACCAAGCACAAAACTGATCATCAGTAATGATTTGGGGATGTATGAGAGCACATAGAAGAGGACAGCTGATTTCTATGATAATATAGTAGAGCATTGATTATCCGAATACCGATCAATTGTAACATCAGTTAACCAAAAGCAATTCAGTCAGCAAATTCAAATTTCCACTAGTGTTGTGGTTTTGCAATATTTGGCTATGTCTTGGGCTACTCCAATATTATTTTTGTTGACATGTGTGTTTTAGCTGGTAGCACTGGTGCGACCATATTGTATCATTAAAAATTATTTCTTTATTTTGCACAAACAAAATAAATACAGTGGTACCTCAGTATACGTCTGCTTTAGAATACGTCCAATTCAGAATACATCCTGTTTGGACAAAACAAATTTTGCTCAGTATACAACTTAATTTAATTATACGCGCCATCTATGAACAAGTACCACTATCGGTGTACTAGACCAGACTAGATGTTCGCAGTGCTATGGTTTATAACTTTGTCAAATTTCTTCTGATTTTAATTTGTAAGTAAAATTTTATTATTTTTATTAATCATGAATTGCAAAAAGGCAAATGAAAAGCAACAGAAAACTAAAAAAATGACTAGAATCACAATGGAACTGAAAAAAGAGATTGTTGAGAAATATGAAGGTGGCACGCGTGTTTGAGATTTAACTGTTGCATACTGTACTCTGAGGACGACGATATCAACAATCGTGAAAAATAAAGATATTATTAAATCTGCTAATAAGGGGTTAAATCAATTTCTAAACAGATTGAAGACATTAGATCATGTTGAGAAATTGCTTTTGCTTTGGATAACTGAAAAAGTGTGCTGGTGACAGCATATCAGAAGCAATTATTTCCAAGAAAGCTAAAAAGATACACGTTGATCTCATGAAAAATCAAGCAGGAACTAGCCAGGAAAGCGAGGCATTTAAAGCCAGCCATTTTTTTTACATGAGAACAGATTAATCATTTTTACATTACTTCTCACGGGAAAGATTGGTTTGGTATACGTCCTATCGGTATAAGTCCAAACACCAGGAACAAATTAAGGTCGTATACCGAAGTTCCACTGTACATTGAAAAATATAAAAACAAAAATTATATTTCAGAAGTTAATCTAGTATCAAAAAATGCTCCAATTCAGCACAACACACGTCGAGAGAGTACTTAAGGACGTGCCAGTATTTGAACGAGGTTCCCCTCCAGCGTGAGTGGTGTGTTTTGCTTCAGTTTGTCGGAGAATATAGCCCAAGCAACTGACAACTCCAGATAAACCCAAGAAAAAGAAAGGGTTTTGCTTGTTTTGTGTGATGTTTTTCTGGGGGCTGTGCTGTCGGGACATGTGTCGTGCTGAATCGAAACGTTTTTGATTCTAGATTAATTTCCAAAATATAATTTTTTTTTGTTTTTATATTTCTCAATATATTTATTTTGTTTGTGCAAAATAAAAAAATAATTTTTAACAATACAATAACCACAATTATGATTTTAAAAAAATTTTCATTAGGCTTAACACTGACAAAAATTCAACATGAAGCAACATGTAACAGAGAAAAATTCAACATGGGACAGGCCAATATTTTTTCATACATGATCAGTTATCCAAAAAACCCCAGTCCAGAATTGTTTTGGATAATCAATGCTGTACTGTACTGACAATGTTAATGAGTACATCTAGGTTCTCCAGCTAAATCTATATTCTTCCCATCAAAAAATCTTTGGATATACCACAAACATTTTCGGCAAGATAATGCCAAGCCCCATTCAGTAATTATCTACAAAGAAACATCTGGCATAAAAGAGGAAGTGTTATAATGCAAACCTCAAACCTTCAAAACAATTTAAAGTTTTTAGCTAAAAATAGGGAAATATTCTGATAGCAACTACAGAAAAGTTGTTGTCAGACTATTTTGCCACTAGTTTCTTGGAAGAAAGATTGTTTTGAAGAAATTAATGCAGAAACTAAGCTTCTTGGATGAAATACTTTTGTTACTAAAAAATTTGAAGTCATATTTCCAAAGCTTTTATATTATTTGCATTTTATAGAATAGTTCTTATTATGGATATGCCAAACTACATTGATACGATGCTTCTCAACTGACATAATATAGAGTGTCCCAAATGTTTCTATACATACAAAGGTAAAATGTAACTTTATTCACAAAACATTAAAATGTCAGCATTAAGATTTGTGTCAGTGAATTGACGAAGTAAGGCAATGGAACACATGGGTGATCTGCCAATGGGGTTTCCACATAGGAAGTCCTGCTAGCAGAATTTCCTATGTGGAAACCGGGATTCTGTTTAGGTGTTAGACACATGAAGAATCCAGAACACTGCATGGATGCCAGTCCATTGGTCAGGCATGAACCAATGACCAACTACCAGTGTTCAATGGTTTAATTTATTCGGTCACTGGTGGGTTTGATTTGTGTCAATATATGGAGACTTTTGGGACACCCTGTATTATAATTTCACATCCAGAGAAATGCACTCCTTTGCATTTTCCAGCCATCATCAGTTGTACCCTTTCTTCCTGTCATAATGAATCAAATACACTAAAAATATATGACAAAATATACATAAAAGCTAACAAAAACTTTAATGTATCTTTGACTGAATGTATCAAATAGTTGCCATAGAGTGCAATAGTAAGACAGAGTAGGCCGTTTTAAGCAGAATATGAGTAATTGTTATTAATAATAAAATAGTTTAAAATTATAAGTATATTAAACAACCTGAAGCCCTATATATATAAGGTGATCATTTGGCTTTGTATCTATAATTTAAAATTATAATTGATTGTGATGATCTATGAGATACTGAGAGTTAAACTTTTCCTATAACAGAATATAAAATGAATTTTTCAAGATTTCAGATTTTTCTGTTAAGTGACTGTCTATTCAATTGTACCATTTTATTTTGATATTTAAAAATATTTGAGTTTAACCAAACAGTGAATCAAGAAGAAATTGTAGCTTTGATTATGAATATATATAAAATCATAAACACAAAAAGTGAAGGAGTTGTTTAAAAAATTTTAAATCCAATAAAAGCAAAATTTAGCAGAACAATATAACATTAATGATGACTCTGCTATGTCTTGGTTGTTATTCATTGAAACTACACTTATTCATTATAAAAAGATATTGATAAGTTTTATTTATTTTCCATTTTTCATTCTTTCAATTCTGTAGGCATTAACTTCATACCCATCATGAGTTTCTCTAGGCCCAGAATGGGAGCAGCCAGATAGTGAGGGACAGACTATGAAAATTCCTGCATTTGCTTGCCCAAATTCAATCCTAGCATTCTCAAAAGGGTGGTAGACCAACACCTTAACTGCTCAATCATGTCCAAGTGAGCAGATACGGTGTAAAAAGACATTACTATCATCTCTGATAATTTTTTTTTACAAGCATACCTCTTTGTCGAATCTGTTAGATAAGAAAATTTTTTAGCCATGTGGCACTTTGATGAATAATCATAAATATCTTCTGCCATTGTTTAAAAAATTTTAAATCCAATAAAAACAATATAATTTTTCAACAATGCATAGAACATCTGAATTTATTATCACTTCCACATATGAAACTGATGTTAACCTATTTCAAAAGACAGCATGGTAAATACAAGTGTCCTACTAAATTTGCAACACACAATAAAAACACAGGCAGCATAGATTTAGCAAATCAATATCAAAAATATTATTTCATATCAAAAAATCTTGCAAACATGTAGTTTCATCTCTTGGTTACTTTTAGATGCAGAAACAGATAATGCATATGTTTTATGTGCATTTACAAAAATGAAAAGAAAAACTACAGGAAACTGTTTCAGTTTGGCCTAATTTGCAGTTCTCTGTAAAAACTTTAGCTACAGGAAAAGAAGAGGAAGACTTGC